AATTAATTTTTAATTTTTAATTTTTAATTAATTTTATATTTAATTTTTATTTATTAATTAATTTTTTTTACATAAAAAGAGGAAATAATTTTACTACAAAATATAGAAGATCTTTTCTTTTTCTTTATTGATGGTGCGAGATCAAACGGCAGAACATGGAACGGAAAAAAGAAGTAAAATAAGCAAGTGCACCCAGTAGGAACAAGGTCGGAACTCTCTGACCTCTTCGCAGAATGGTTCTGGCTAATGTCAAGATAAATGCGATTTCCTAGAATGGGAAACGCGGAGCAAGGGTAATGTGGAAGCACTGGGAGCACAAGAAGAAAAATATTGTTTGCCGCGAAAACTGGGGCGCACATCCTGAAGCAGGGCGTTGGTAGTGGTTTGACCACGAAGGCGTCGCGTGAGGGGCTGAGGTGGAAAAAGCCAAAAGCTCGTCGGCTCTCGTGCCGGAGTAGCTTGCCAAAATAAGATTCGTTTTTAGAGAATTAAGGGGAGGAAGCTTTTAGAATAGGGTTACTTAAATCGGGTCACATGAATCCTTGCATGATTCTCTTTCATGATTCAAAAATACGATGAAATCGATAATATAATCGAATATACAATTCGTCTTTTGATGCATTTTCAAATTAGCAAATGTTATTATTTATTTCAAATTAGCAAATGTTATTATTTATTCACGAAAGTATTTCGAAATATGTCTTTTTTCCTTCGGAAATATTATTTTACATTTGTTTATTTCTTGTATTTCTACAAATTGTAAAGTAAACTTTGAACTATTTGATAAGAATCTTCAAAGGATTTCGAACAAACACACCTTCCATTAGTGCAATTTCCTTTAAAATCTTATATAATTTTAGCAAAGAAGATTGATATTCTTGAAAGTGATTTTATTTACACGAAATTGAAAGCTGAACGTATGAAATTTTTGACATTTATTATTATAATTTTCAAACTTTTATATCTTTAATAGTGATTAAATTTTTCCATTGCAATAGTTATACAAATTTAAAGAATTACCTAATTATTATCATTTTGCAATGTTCACTGGATAATTATTCTCGAAATATTCATGATTGCTCGTTTATTGAACATTATTTCCCCCTTGAATACACGACGATTCTCTGAATTCCATTTATTCGGAGGATCGCCAGCTTGTGTATTCTATTAGGTATTGTTGAGCTTTCGCAACTATTTTCTAGGATTGCTAGATCGGTGGATAGAATTAATGTTACTATTGCGATCGCTCAATGTCTAGCGTATAGCCTTAGGCCAACGAGGACGATTTCAGGAGCTCGTTATCGTGGATGAATTCAATGCATCGCAGACGACAGCGAGCGACAGCAAATTCAACCAACGTTGGCTTAGCCGCGTTCGGTCCATTCATCTTGCTTCGGACAGTTGTCTTCCCGGTAATGCCGAAGATACCGATCCAAGGAGGTACCAATACGGATTCTATCGACGGAAGTTACGCGTCTTTCTGCGGATATCGGCTAGTTTACGGTCGTTTCTCCAAATAACAATGCAATCATTGTAGATGGGCATATCGATTTGTTGTGAAGGGGGATAAGATATGATAGAAATCTTATTTATCTATATTTTTATTTTATTTTCTATCATATTTTTTGCTAAGATATGATAGAAAATAAAATAAAAATATTAACACAAATAAACAAATAGAATCATATATTCGGACAAGGTGAATTTTGATGTTTATTAATATTTTTGAATTTTACAATTTCCATCTTCATGCAAACTGTGAACCGATTAATACCGATTAATCAGACTTATACTCCCAAACTGAAGCTAGAGTATGTAATATTCACAAATTAAGTTGACAAACAATTAGTATTGATATACTTGTGAGCATTTTAAAACACTAAAAAGAATTAAAAATCGATGATGTTCTTAATTACGAAATAAAGCGTTTGTCAAAAATATTATTTTATAATTGATACTTTTCATTTCCATTTGAAAATAAATAATAATCATTGTATGCAATATTTAATGTAATTTAATTTTTATTATATATATTATATTGTATATATATATATTTTTATTATGTCTATTATACGTTCTTTATATCTGTTCCATTTAAATCGGTAATTCCGCCTAAATCTCCAACATTACGAATACTTTCACATTATTTCCCTTCTCGTATTTCCCCGCTTTTGGCTTTAGTCTCTGTGACCTCGAAACGAATGTAGGTATTTGGCGTCTCCGCTTTAAGAGATATATCGGTGGCAGGATTAGTCGATTTTTCCTAGTGCCAACTATCCTCGAATTCATTCGTTACGAGATGCCTTCTATGAAAATCTTCCGTGTCTTCAACAAATTTCAACAGATTTAGGAACTAGTTTACGAGTTGCTGCCCTTTCACGAGAATGCACTTGGGAATCTTACGTAAACTCTCGCAAAGTTGTTCGGTATATCTGCTTGCAAGCTTGATAATTTCATTGCGTAATTTACCGGAGGACACGAACTTGATGCGAACAGCGAGTCGCATAAAACATAAAGTTTCAAACGTACTTGCTAAAGATCATTCTATATTATCTTCTTCAGTAACCATATACGAACACAGCAGCAGCAGCAGCAGCAGTTTTGATATAAATACGAAACTTACTTCCAAAACTGTAATTTTATTATATTGTTGTAGTTGTTACTTAATATAAAGTTGTTACTTAAAAAAGAAGAAGCCAAGATTGTATATCAGTATGATATTCTTTAAAACACTTAAAACAGTAGGATATTCTTTCAAACATAAAAGCCAACAAGCGATTTAATTTGTAGAATGTCAGTTTCGCGATTCGTGCTGTGCAATGCATTTTGTATGTACATAACAAAATATTTGTGAAAGTAATGTTTTCTTTTTTATTTTACATAATTGTTTTGTTAATTATCGCCAGTCGAAATGTTTTGATAATAAACTGTCGATTTAAATTTCATTCACAAAGCGACTTACTTACCCTTTCTATGTGGCCGCCACTAACGACCTCCGGCGTGTTAACACAGACTACTCTTTTCAAGCGTAGTTTGTTAACGTGGAAAGCCGAGCCGTAACAGTACATCAACACCATCGTCGTTGGGAAATAAAAACAGCAACACGCTAGGATCCTGAAAAAGGAGATACGATAAAGAGCATTTTCCGACCCAGAAAAGCAGTAATTAGCGTGTCATATGCAAGCGGGAATATAACTAGTGCAGTGAAGCTGATATCATACGAACGCAATAAAATTATATTTGTACAAGTAGATTACGCAAAATCTGATGTTCTATGTGTAAAGTTATTAGTATCTACAATATGATAAAAACAGTATCACAATGCATTCATTTCAACTTTCTCTTATAAATTAATATGCTTTGTAACGTACTTTGTGAAGTTGATTCTATCTCGCGTGCATTTAAATTATTTTATAAATTTTTTTATATTCTATTTCTTCAAATGTTTATAAAAGAACGTAATATAAATGGATAATTCTATTTGAACTAATGTATCGAGATACAATTTCTAAATTACCGATTCGAAAAACATTACGATAGGTCGAAATAACGATCTTTCGTATTTCGCACCGGTTTAGATCAGACTTTAAGCGTACCGGAAGGGAACATTAACGCGGATATATCGCTATCTTTCACGGTTGATCGCCTCGGTGTCCTCCCAAGGCAATCGACCACGCGACGGTGTGGCGTTCTCAACATTAAATTGTAATTGTCCGCAATTGGTCACCGGCGAACAAACGTGATGGTGAACAAACGTGATGAGCAAGATCATGAAATGTCGAGCTTATCACCGCATCACAGCATTCGCTATGGTGATACCTAAGGGATGCTCTAGCGAAGAAGGGGTCGCAGGCGAGAAGGCCAGATCCGTTGAAGTAGTAACCGCCTCTGGGGAGTACCAGAACCCCGAAAATTGCCACGCTCGCTATCCAAGTGGTCGACATCACTGCCACACAGCCCTGCCGCATGTAATACTGTGTCAACATAGACAGAAAACGATCACTCTTTCTCACCCATACGCCGAGCGTTTTATAGATATATGGTGCACATGTATGCGTATATGTATTTGTCTATATATTTTTATCGGTTCAGACCGGGGCTTGTTTGCACACATTCTATCTTTTGTAGTATATCATACATCGTTTACTCAAACGATTACATGCACTGTTTTTATTATCAAAAATCTCAGAATGCATTATTCAACTAATAGACGAAATATTTAATACTGTGATAATCTCAGAATGCATTATTCAACGAATAGACGAAATATTTAATACTGTGATAAAAGATACGCGATAAATAAGTACTGCTGTGTATTCTATCAAATATCTAAATGTATGTATGATGGAATTTTTCAAATAATAATTAAATAAAATGTATGCAAATAATCTCGAGTTAAATATAAATGTTGTAAAAATTTAAGTAGAATATGAAAAAGAATCATTAAAAAACGTCGTTGAGAATATGTATATCTTAAATTACATGCGTGTCCAAAATTTACATATTTTATAATAATGTAGCTTATTAACTTTTTATATATAACATAACATTGCTTAATCATATTGAACGAAAATGAAGAAAATAATGTAAAAGAAATATACATCTATTTACATACATTGAAATTATATTTAATTACATAAAATTATAAGCATTATATTTACACGGTATTTTTTAGAAGAATTAAAGAATTTTATAAAAATATTGTAAACGTTAAAAATTATTTTTTAAAAAAACTCGATTACTAGTTTTAAATACATTGCACCTTTAGTGAGGTCACTCTTCATTTGATCAAATCTCCAAGCAAATAAAGAAAGTCCCACGAACTATTTTTATCGACGATCCACTTTTACAGCACAAACCCGGTGTGTTAAGTATTATCGAGATTAACCTCATCCTGATCCCAAAAAACGATCAATGAAATGACACTCGACTTTGCTGTTCTCCAAGTAGTAAGGATCGAGACTTATACGATGTTTTCTTTTTTCCTTTGTTGCAGATATGATCCATTAACTAAAAATATTATTTAAAAATATAAAAATAAATTGAAGTACATAGAATATTATAGATGAAAATCGTTACGATAAAAATATTTTTTACCATGTAAAAAATATTAGAATTTTTGATCGTAGATATTTAATATAAATTATTTTTCTTAGCGTTTTCTCATTTTTTCATTTAATACGAGATAATAAGAACTAAGAAGTAAAAATTTAATATGCAAACTTAAAACAGTTAATTTAAAACATATATTTTTGAGGACAGACAAACTTTATAACTTTTTTTCTTCATGTTTAACTTCAAAGTTTATAATTTATCAGTACGTAAAAGCTTTCATGTGCTCTTGTATATTAAAAATAACCAAATGTTTACTTTTAAAACTAAACTGTTAAGAATAAAATGTTAATTTTTAACTTAAAGACGTACAGTAGACTTTCTAAAATATGCAAAAATATTAAAACATTAAAAAGGATAATAAGAATCTTATTGGACATTGGAAAATATAATAGAAAATATAATAGAAAATAGGAAAGTTAAAATTAACATTTTTTAATACAAAATTTATTTCTTAAATTAGATATAATTTACTCAATGTAAGATATATTAACAATATTGTGAAAAACTTAATAATTGTGATTATGTGAAAATCACATCTATCCCCAAATAATATTTAAAGAAATACTAAAAATACATAAAATGACAAATCCATTCATAATATAGATGCTATCCTAGTTGCATTTTAGTTCTGTTGAGAATTCCTGAAAATACTATCAAAGTTATCGATCCGTCTAAAATAGTGTAAAGGCTGATATTCTCCGCGCATTGTGAAGCGCCAGAAACAAAGAGCTAAAGATCAAGTTGTTGAGAATTTGGAACTAAATACGAGCTGTAGCCTGTTCAATATTGCACTAAATATGGCTAAAGCTGATGTAACACGAAACTCTATCTGTGAACTAACATAATACGATAAGAGCAAATATGAAATCAAAATCGAGAAGCAACAGCTTCTACCGATCAAATATGAAAAGAGACAGAGTCAAAGGTTGCCAGAATTCGATGAGTGGCTAAACGTTTGATAGGTGAAAAATTACGGAATGAATAAAAAATCAGCAATTCGTCAAACGTTTTTCTTTTACTACTGATTTTTATATGTTGCGCTTTTTTTCTTACTTTAGTAATTGTGCAAATAGCAATTCTATTTCATTTTTTTATTTTATTCTATTATTTTATTCTGTTATTTTATCTTATTATTGTATTTTATTCTATTCACTATGTATACAATTTCATTTTATTGTCAAAAAAACAATCTAAGAAATCATATTATTAGTGTTAAAGGGTTTGCGAGTTATTTATTATTTCCTGTAGTTTTTAGTTCCTGTTTTTTTAGTATTAAATGTTATATGAATACGAATCTTTTTAAATTTGACTATCACATTACACTTTTGAGAAAAATGCGTTAAAGAGACAAAAAACTTTTTTATGATATAATGTCGACAATAATTTTTTTTCGTAAATTTTTAAAACTTTAAGAACTTTTTCAAAATTTTTCAATGCCACGTAGTATCAATTTTTAACTTTAAAATGCATTTTGTTTCTTTCCGATATGATTTTTTTGGTTTCGAGATATGTATATTATTTTTAAAATCGGTTTTTTTCCATATAATACATGGAAAAGATATTTTATTTTAATAGTGTATTATGTAAAAAATAAGTTCCTTTATACTTACATAATATTATATTTATATAATTGGACAAATAAAAAAACTATACGAAATTAAAAATCAAAACAAGAAACATATAAATGCTGAATATTTTTTGCCTAATTTGTTCTTTATTATAATAATAAATATGAACATACATATATAAGATTTTCGATTACTTATCCGAGATCTGTTTTTTGTGGCTAAACTAGTAGCTAAACTAGTAAACTAGTGGAACTTAAAGTGAGAAAGATATATATGTTTGATATTTGTCGAAAACGAAAAAGAAAGTTCTAATGCAGTCTAGCGCAAGAACAAAAAATGGACCGTTTTTTGTCATCTTCAGTATTTGAAATTTTAACAATCAATCGATATAAAATTAAATATAATATAGCTATTTTCAAATTTTATATCTCGAAAATGAAAAATTATATTGAAACAAAACGAAATAAAGTTTAAAGCTAAAAGTTAATATTTTTGTGTGGCACGAAGTTTCGAAAAAAATTTGTTGTTATTACAACATTATGAAAACCGTCAAAATTATTTTTTTTATCCTTTAATTTTTCTAAAAATTATAACGTAACAGACTTTGAAAAACGGAGAAAAATACATTAAGAATAGTTAAAATTATTAAAATTTTTTTGTAGAATAATATCATTTATGAAAAAAGTTTTTTTTGCAAATATAAGTTGTAAGTAAAATCTAAAATCTTTTATATGTAAATTCTGTACGTATATTTTTCAATTATAAATTAGTATGCTGCTTACTATCGAACTTGAAATGTAATCATAAATTGAAATTAAAATGTTATAACTCTATTGTTTGTGTTATAAAAATGTTATAACTCAATTGTTCATTGATATGATAATGATAATATTAAAAGAATAATAATTTCATAACTATATAAATAGAAATCGTATAGGATAGGGAAGTATTTTTAAATAAAAATGACCATCCTATCTATTACGTTAAGATAAAATGTAAGATAAAATAAAATTTACATTTTTTTCGAAACAAAAGGAGAAAGACTATAAAATAGCGGGAAATATATTGAAATAAAATAAAATTGATAAAGGCAAAAATGAGTAGCACTGGAAAATCTTATTCTTTGAAGTCGGGCAATCCGTTGATGATACGTATATAAAGTAGTTAAAATTTTCTTGCATTTCTTCTTTTGAATACTTTTGAAAATTAGAATAATTTTTTATTGATTTTTTATTTAAAACGCTCTTAATTAAAACGATTCGTGAAGTGATCTTAATCACAATTGATTTTATTTTTATTTGGATCTATTACGTTAAATTTATTACATTATCTTTTTTATAACTACCCAAAAGTTAGAAATAGGATATTTTTGAACCGCGCTCTGTTGTCTTTATTACACATAAATTTCGTCCTGGTTACACGATGTATTGCTACGGCCACGGAAATAAAAGTATATGTGGTAGACGAATGACAGGCCGCGGTGACACTTTGCATTTTGATGCGCTTTTAAATCTCCGAAATTCATTTTGGCAGTTAAGCCAGAATAAACTGATCCACGTCCGAGCTTTGACAAACCGTAGTGTGAAACTGCAGACATGTTACGGATCGCGGGAAAGGATCCTACTAATAGCGCTCGTAAACTTTGCAGTTGCTACGTAAAAGTTACCTTTAAAACGCTCGATCGTTTTTGCTGCTGTTCGCGAAAGGTGATGTAAAATTACTGGATTATATTAACTTGCGGTAATCAATAGGTCGGAATTTCAAAAGTAATTTAACAGATTAATAGCTTCCTAGCACGTTCAAACAAGTTAGTTTTGACGAGCTTTATTTTTAAGTGAACTCTATTAAGCAAACTTTATATAAAATTATCCAGTACTCTTTATAAATTATATCGTATAAAACGTATCCAATTCACATACGCAATCTACAATAAGTATTAGCATGTTCTTTTTACATTTTATTTTTTATATAAAATATTTAAAAAGAGAGGGAATTCATATATATGGAATATATATGAATAAATGTATGTGTATTCTGCGATTTTTAGTTATATAAAAAAGAATAAAGAAGATAAACAATATTCCATTTATAAAAGCAGCGCAGATGATGCGCTTACTAATTTTCGCACTCCTTCGTTATGATAACAAAACAGAAACGATTGCTATTATTTTTATTTCATCGCTGAATAGCATGAGATATTCTAAATCCCAAAGAGACTAAGAGATTATTTTTTGAAACGAAATTCCTACTCTCTATTCTATTAAGCTTTCAATCTTTTTTAATATTCATTTCAATAGCTTTCATGTCTATATTTGACATATATTACTAAGTTATATTATGTATATAAAACTATATATATAATGGGCACAGGATTGAAAAAGATTCTAATCTCGAACGTAGCATCGGGGTACCGATATTTTAGTTACGTTGATATTAAAACCTTTAAAAGCAATATAACAAGAAATATCTTTATTCTTTAAACTCACATGATTACGAACGAATGATATCGGATTGTCGTATCTTATGAATAAGGTGATTGTAACGTGTAACGAGAAATATTTTCATTTCCTAGATTCATGAATACGAATATCGTCAAATATCCTCATATTATATTCATGAAACAAAATGATTATATCAATAGTCGATTTACGATGAGTTCTATTTTCTTGTGAATTCAAACAAATTGAACAAGTTTTTCTACTATCTACCATTTTCATTGAGTAACAGTTATTTTAACTTGAAACGACAATTGTCTGTAATCAATCAACTATTCGATCGTTTCACTTCACATCGTGTTTAACAAGAGCAAATTTACGATTGTCAATAGATCGAATGAATTGAGAGAATAGTTTGGTGAATGAATCCCTGCAGACAGAAGAAACGTTTGAAACAAGTGTGACTTGGTGACATCAGTTGATACGAAATTCCGTTAGAAACAATCATAAAAGAATTGGAATTCTATTATAGTAACAACTCGAAAATATTAGTTATAAACTTTCTCTTTTTATTTCTATATTTTATTTTTAATAGAAAATATGAATTGTTATTTAAATATTTATAATAATTAGAGATTACATAATTATTATAAAATAAAAATATGAAAAGAGATAAAAATTATTAATAATAAAATTATTAATTATTAATAATCAGCCACTGAAAATGATTAAAATTTCAATATTTAGGTAATATTAAAAGTGAAAAATATAAATTTTAAAATAAAAATAATTTATAATAAAGGAACTGTTAATAATATATAATA